AACCCAAGTCGACGGTTCCGTTCGAGGAGTAAGCAAAGGACTGGACCACTGCTCCCCATGTACACAACAGCAGCAGCAGCCACTCAAAACTAAACAGCATGGAACCCACTTGTGGCAGGCTAGGTGCACTTCGAGGCCTGCTGGCAGGAGGTCACAGGCCACAGCGATGTTATTCTTGGTGACCGTGAGATGCATTCGGCCAAAATCTCGACGGTGTCAACACGCTGTGATTTCGATAAAATTGACAAAGATCTCCCGTGTTGCCTTCAACTCGCTGTTTGGGGCAAGTGCTGTTAGCCAGCACCTATGAAAGCCGACACGGCACAAGAGGGGGTCGATGGCCGGTACCACGCCCGGCCGCCTTTGTCTCCCCAGTGGCGATGTTTACACATAGCACCAGGTACTGATTTGAGGTTGAGTCGATCTAGTGGAGGCCCAGGACCGGTTCAGATAATCGTCACCGGTTTTGGCCGTGAGTGCGAATCGAACTCGGGTCGCCGGATTCAGAGCGCAGCATAGCGCTAACCACTACACTACCGCTCCCCACTCGAGATCTCTCTCTCTCTCTCTCGCACTCGCAGGTTCACATCTCCTCCTATCCGCCCCACCAGCAACAGCCACAGTGGGGGGCGACAATGGCACGAGCGTGGAGGGGCTGCACAGATCTCTGGTGTGTGTTGTGTTCCACAGATCTCTGGTGTGTGTTGTGTTCCACAGATCTCTGGTGCGTGTTGTGTTCCACAGATCTCTGGTGTGTGTTGTGTTCCACAGATCTCAGGTGTGTGTTGTGTTCCACAGATCTCTGGTGTGTGTTGTGTTCCACAGATCTCCGATGTGTGTTGTGTTCCACAGATCTCTGGTGTGTGTTGTGTTCCACAGATCTCTAGTGTGTGTTGTGTTCCACAGATCTCTGGTGTGTGTTGTGTTCCACAGATCTCTGGTGTGTATTGTGTTCCACAGATCTCAGGTGTGTGTTGTGTTCCACAGATCTCTGGTGTGTGTTGTGCTCCACAGATCTCTGGTGTGTGTTGTGTTCCACAGATCTCTGGTGTGTGTTGTGTTCCACAGATCTCTGGTGTGTCTTGTGTTCCACAGATCTCTGGTGTGTTGTGTTCCACAGATCTCTGGTGTGTGTTGTGTTCCACAGATCTCCGGTGCGTGTTGTGTTCCACAGATCTCTGGTGTGTGTTGTGTTCCACAGATCTCTGGTGCGTGTTGTGTTCCACAGATCTCTGGTGTGTGTTGTGTTCCACAGATCTCTGGTGTGTATTGTGTTCCACAGATCTCTGGTGTGTGTTGTGTTCCACAGATCTCTGGTGTGTGTTGTGTTCCACAGATCTACGGTGTGTGTTGTGTTCCACAGATCTCTGGTGTGTGTTGTGTTCCACAGATCTCTGGTGTGTGTTGTGTTCCACAGATCTCCGGTGCGTGTTGTGTTCCACAGATCTCTGGTGTGTGTTGTGTTCCACAGATCTCCCGTGTGTGTTGTGTTCCACAGATCTCTGGTGTGTGTTGTGTTCCACAGATCTCTGGTGTGTGTTTTGTTCCACAGATCTCTGGTGTGTGTTGTGTTCTACAGATCTCTGGTGTGTGTTGTGTTCCACAGATCTACGGTGTGTGTTGTGTTCCACAGATCTCTGGTGTGTGTTGTGTTCCACAGATCTCTGGTGTGTGTTGTGTTCCACAGATCTCCGGTGTGTGTTGTGTTCCACAGATCTACGGTGTGTGTTGTGTTCCACAGATCTCTGGTGTGTGTTGTGTTCCAAGGATCTCTGGTGTGTGTTGTGTTCCACAGATCTCCGGTGTGTGTTGTGTTCCACAGATCTCTGGTGTGTGTTGTGTTCCACAGATCTCCGGTGTGTGTTGTGTTCCACAGATCTCTGGTGTGTGTTGTGCTCCACAGATCTCTGGTGTGTGTTGTGTTCCACAGATCTCTGGTGTGTGTTGTGTTCCACAGATCTCTGGTGTGTCTTGTGTTCCACAGATCTCTGGTGTGTTGTGTTCCACAGATCTCTGGTGTGTGTTGTGTTCCACAGATCTCTGGTGTGTGTTGTGTTCCACAGATCTCTGGTGTGTGTTGTGTTCCACAGATCTCTGGTGTGTGTTGTGTTCCACAGATCTCTGGTGTGTGTTGTGTTCCACAGATCTCTGGTGCGTGTTGTGTTCCACAGATCTCTGGTGTGTGTTGTGTTCCACAGATCTCAGGTGTGTGTTGTGTTCCACAGATCTCTGGTGTGTGTTGTGTTCCACAGATCTCCGATGTGTGTTGTGTTCCACAGATCTCTGGTGTGTGTTGTGTTCCACAGATCTCTAGTGTGTGTTGTGTTCCACAGATCTCTGGTGTGTGTTGTGTTCCACAGATCTCTGGTGTGTATTGTGTTCCACAGATCTCCGGTGTGTGTTGTGTTCCACAGATCTCTGGTGTGTGTTGTGCTCCACAGATCTCTGGTGTGTGTTGTGTTCCACAGATCTCTGGTGTGTGTTGTGTTCCACAGATCTCTGGTGTGTCTTGTGTTCCACAGATCTCTGGTGTGTTGTGTTCCACAGATCTCTGGTGTGTGTTGTGTTCCACAGATCTCCGGTGCGTGTTGTGTTCCACAGATCTCTGGTGTGTGTTGTGTTCCACAGATCTCTGGTGCGTGTTGTGTTCCACAGATCTCTGGTGTGTGTTGTGTTCCACAGATCTCTGGTGTGTATTGTGTTCCACAGATCTCTGGTGTGTGTTGTGTTCCACAGATCTCTGGTGTGTGTTGTGTTCCACAGATCTACGGTGTGTGTTGTGTTCCACAGATCTCTGGTGTGTGTTGTGTTCCACAGATCTCTGGTGTGTGTTGTGTTCCACAGATCTCCGGTGCGTGTTGTGTTCCACAGATCTCTGGTGTGTGTTGTGTTCCACAGATCTCCCGTGTGTGTTGTGTTCCACAGATCTCTGGTGTGTGTTGTGTTCCACAGATCTCTGGTGTGTGTTTTGTTCCACAGATCTCTGGTGTGTGTTGTGTTCTACAGATCTCTGGTGTGTGTTGTGTTCCACAGATCTACGGTGTGTGTTGTGTTCCACAGATCTCTGGTGTGTGTTGTGTTCCACAGATCTCCGGTGTGTGTTGTGTTCCACAGATCTACGGTGTGTGTTGTGTTCCACAGATCTCTGGTGTGTGTTGTGTTCCAAGGATCTCTGGTGTGTGTTGTGTTCCACAGATCTCCGGTGTGTGTTGTGTTCCACAGATCTCTGGTGTGTGTTGTGTTCCACAGATCTCCGGTGTGTGTTGTGTTCCACAGATCTCTGGTGTGTGTTGTGCTCCACAGATCTCTGGTGTGTGTTGTGTTCCACAGATCTCTGGTGTGTGTTGTGTTCCACAGATCTCTGGTGTGTCTTGTGTTCCACAGATCTCTGGTGTGTTGTGTTCCACAGATCTCTGGTGTGTTGTGTTCCACAGATCTCTGGTGTGTGTTGTGTTCCACAGATCTCTGGTGTGTGTTGTGTTCCACAGATCTCTGGTGTGTGTTGTGTTCCACAGATCTCTGGTGTGTGTTGTGTTCCACAGATCTCTGGTGTGTGTTGTGTTCCACAGATCTCTGGTGTGTGTTGTGTTCTACAGATCTCTGGTGAGTGTTGTGTTCCACAGATCTCTGGTGTGTGTTGTGTTCCACAGATCTCTGGTGTGTGTTGTGTTCTACAGATCTCTGGTGAGTGTTGTGTTCCACAGATCTCTGGTGTGTGTTGTGTTCCACAGATCTCTGGTGTGTGTTGTGCTCCACAGATCTCTGGTGTGTGTTGTGTTCCACAGATCTCTGGTGTGTGTTGTGTTCCACAGATCTCTGGTGTGTGTTGTGCTCCACAGATCTCTGGTGTGTGTTGTGTTCCACAGATCTCTGGTGTGTGTTGTGTTCCACAGATCTCTGGTGTGTGTTGTGTTCCACAGATCTCTTGTGTGTGTTGTGTTCCACAGATCTACGGTGTGTATTGTGTTCTACAGATCTCTGGTGTGTGTTGTGTTCCACAGATCTCTGGTGCGTGTTCTGTTCTACAGATCTCTGGTGTGTGTTGTGTTCCACAGATCTCTGGTGTGTGTTCTGTTCCACAGATCTACGGTGTGTGTTGTGTTCCACAGATCTCCGGTGTGTGTTGTGTTGTTGTTGCCGCACGTGCTGGCGGCTTCGTCGGGAAATGATTCAGCTCCCGACACGTGGCCGGGAGGTGGTGGCTACATCCCACGTGGCTGCCTGTAATTCAGCACTGTGGAAGCAGCGGCATTGAGGGTTGGTGGCTCATCACACGCTTCTTGCCAAACTCCTCCCCGTGGGCGTCAAGCGGGAGGCCGTACTTCTGGTTCTCCTGGCGAATGCGGTAAAGCAACTGTACGGGGATAGGGTGTTGCCCCCTTGCACGAGGCGTGGGGTTTTTTTCCAGGTGCTCCCACGTGCAGTATAAACTCGTCGTTAATTGGCTGAACACAGCTTAAAATAAATAAATAAAAATCCAATGCAGCAGCAGGAACCTCCTGAAAGAGTCACACGACTCAGCGTGGCTCTCCTAGAATGTTTTATATCATTATTTATGATTGCGAGTCGTGACCCATCCATCATATATTCATGGTCACACCGGCACCCCACCGTCGCACACCCTAGCTCCTCGAAGACAAAGATCCCTCGTGTAGCCTTAACAGACTGTTGGGGCAAGTGCTGTTAGCGAGCACCTATGAAGGCCAAAAAGGCACACGAAGGGGTGGGTGGCCAACACCACACCCAGCCGCCTTTGTCTCCCTAGTGGCGATGTTTGCACATCGCACCGGCCGAGTCGACTTAGGGGAGGCCCTGGACCGGTTCAGATAATCGTCACCGATGTTGGCCACGAGCGGGAATTGAACTCGGGAAATCGGGCTCGTAGCGCAGAGCACTAACCACTACACTACCGTTCCCCCACCCACCCACCACCCCCACAACCCCTCCACACCCCCTCCACACCCCCCCACACACCCCCCCACCCCAGCTCCACCGCTCACCCTCGCGGCCCGCGAAGCTCTGCGCCTCCTCCTCCTCCTCGTCCCCCTCGGCGGCCGCGTCCTTCCCCTTCTCGCGGCGCCGGTGGTGGCGGTGCCCGCGCCGGTGGTGGCGCCGGTGGCTGCGGTGGCCCAGCGGCACGTGGACCCCCACGTAGATGGCGCGGTGGGCTGCTCGCGCGCGCGCGCCCAGCACAACAACAACAAACAACAACAACAAAGGTCCCCCGTGTAGCCTTTTAATGGAATGCTGGGGGGGGGGGGGGGAGCGGGCAAGTGCTGTGAGCGAATTTACCGATTTTAAGGCCGGCACGCCGCACACACTCATTCACTTACGGACCGCACATGCACTGCAATGCCTCCGGATATTTACGTGAAATTCGTGTGCAAAAAAATAAATATTTTTTTAGTTTTTAAATAAATATCCACCTACATATGTAGAACTTCTTTTGCACCGTACGTAGCCAACCGTGCTAATCGGAGGTGCGGGGAAAAGACAACAAACTAAACACAAAAAGCAGCACTTAAAGAAATTAGTTTTCAATTTAAACGAGCAGCTCGCATGTCCTTTGCACGTGACCATCCTTCCATCATTTCCTCCCTCCCATCAGCCAGCCAGCAAAACTTTTTTCTGCCATTACAGTATGATGCATTTCTTATTTCTTCTTCTAAATATCGCCTACCCCAAGTTTTGTCCGAATCGTGCGATGTGCGTCGTGCCCCTGAGATGAAATATCCGATCAGTGCCACCTATCGTGTTAGAGAACGGTCCACGGAAGCGGATATCCCAGAGTTACTTCTCAGATCTCTCTTTAAATTCACCTCTGGTCCACACACGATAGAGGGCAGCATCTTCCCACCCGCTCCGCCATATGAGAGTATTGCTCGTCGCTTGACATCAAACCAACATTGTAATTCCTATAAGTGAAGTTAATCCAAATGAAGTGCAGAGCTTAATTTAACGGTTGAATTTGTGCAGTCTATTGGAACCAGGCTGAAGCCATTAACTGCACTCGAGAAGCCCCGGTTTAATGCCAGGCAGTGGCTGAAACCAGGGGCGGAGTCACGGGGGGGGGGGGGGCTGGGGGGGGGGCTGGGGTGAGGGCTGGGGGGGGGCTGGGGGGGGGCTTTGCCCCCTCTGAAATTTTGGGAAAGTCGGTAATCGGGATGACCGGATATCTGGCTGCTGCAAAATGCTGCAGGCTGTCACCTTGTGCTGCCACCTCGTGTGCTACCACCTTGTGTGCTGCCCTGCAGGCTGCCACCTTGTGCTGCCACCTCGTGTGCTACCACCTTGTGTGCTGCCCTGCAGGCTGCCACCTTGTGCTGCCCTACAGGCTGCCACCTTGTGTGCTGCCCTGCAGGCTGCCACCTTGTGTGCTGCCCTGCAGGCTGCCACCTTGTGCTGCCACCTCGTGCTGCCCTGCAGGCTGCCACCTCGTGCTACCACCTTGTGTGCTGCCCTGCAGGCTGCCACCTTGTGTGCTGCCCTGCAGGCTGCCACCTTGTGCTGCCACCTCGTGCTGCCCTGCAGGCTGCCACCTCGTGCTACCACCTTGTGTGCTGCCCTGCAGGCTGCCACCTTGTGCTGCCCTGCAGGCTGCTTGAGCGGCAGCCTTTCGAACTTATCGAACTTATTAGCCACATCAGCGGCTCCGACCTATTAATAAACTCCGCGTTCAAATCCAATAAAATTTGTTTTATACATTTGTGGCGCCCATTGGAAAACATTAAACACACTGAGATATCTCAGAATATTGAAGTCAGCCCTCCCCCCCAAAGTCAAAATCCTGGCTCCGCCCCTGGCTGAAACCCGGGATTCGAACTCAGCGACTCAGCGTTGCTGGCTCGGCGTGGAGCCGACGGCAACCCCGAACCCCGCCACGTGGCGCTCCCCAGGCTCCAGCCCAGCAGAGGGAGCACGCGTACCGCGCTCACGGCAAGCACAAAGACTCCCCAGCGGAGCCCTGGCAGACCGTTGCGAAGCGTGCTGTGAGCAAGTGCTGTTAGCGAGTAGCACCTATGAAGGCCGGCACGGTTACACGAGGGGGTGGGTGGCCAGCACCACACCCGACCGCCTTTGTTTCCCCAGTGGCGACGTTTTTACCCACAGCACTAGGTACTCGTTTGAGGCTGAGTCGACCTAGGCGGCGTAACGGACGCAGCCATCTCACTGAGAGATGGCGTGCCGTGACTAGGGGCCGTCCATAAATGACGTCACGCACCTGGGGGGGGGGGGGGAGGGGTCAGATATTTGTGACGATGTGTGACGAGGGGGGGGAGGTCAAAAATCGTCCAAAATCGCGTGACGTCATTTATGGACGGCCCCGTACCCACACTTGCAACTCCCGCGTGGGGGAATCGGAGACCTGTGGGTTGTCAGTCTGCTGGTGCGCCACGCGTTAGCCCGCCGTGTGCGGAGTGCTGGCTACAGCACACCCGGAGATGAAAACAAACACGGCCATCGCCCCCGCACTCCCACCCGTCGCCCCCCCCCCCCACCCATCGCCCCCCCACCCATCGCCCCCCACCCACCAATCGCCCCCCACCAACCCATCGCCCCCCACCCACCCATCGCCCACCCCACCCACCCATCGCCCAGCCGCCACTCTCCCTGCCGGGCAGCAGACGGGACCCTCAGTACCCCTGGGCTGCATGGCCATTAACAACATGGACAGAGTCAATGAGCGTGGAGGCATTGGTGCTCATCTCCCGTTTGCAGCCCTGCTGAGCCAGTGGTGGAAATTGGACATTCCTATGGCGGGGGTGAGCCTGCTAGACATCTGTGAAAAAGAGCATTTTAGCTCGTCGGATTCTCTCCAGTTAAAAATACATATTCTGATTCTGACTATAGCCCAGTCACTGCTGATATCCCCACTGAGTGCCAGTCGAATTGTAGTTGTATCGACCCGGGAGGAATGATGGGCTGAGTCACCCCCCCCCCCCCCATACCCGCTGCCCCCCCCCCCGCACCGCTGCATCGAGTGGCGGCGCTAAACGTCCCCGGCAAGTCGAGCCCTCGTGGTGTGGGGGGTCGTGAGTGCGTTGCTGCCGCACGACCGCACAGAATAATTTCTCTCTCTTTGTAGTTGTGGGGCCAGGGGCGGTTGGGGCGGGGGTGGGATGGGGGGTCTGAAAAGGCAACCAAATTAACAGTGGCCGTGTGAGAGGTGGCGACATTCAGCCGAGTCACCGCGGGCTGGGTGGGGGTGAGGGCGCGAGTCGCTTTCGCCGGGTAACCAAACGTCGGGCCTCGAGCTCGGGGGGAGTCGCCCGGTGCCCAAGGGCGCTCGATATTTGCGGGGCATCAACGCGCGGCGCGGGGTCGCTCGAAAGGTCAACGGGGCCGGCGCCTCTGCGGGTGCGGCCGCTCCGAGCCCCGGCGAACCGACGATTGAAAAATAATGCACCCATTGTGAATGACGACGACAACAAACAACGATAACAAACAGAATAAATAATGAGAGAGAAAGAGAGAGAGAGACAGAGAGCAGGCGATCAGGTGGTTGTTTCCTGTCTCATTCTGCAATGCTGTTCTGATTGTCCTATTGGCAATCCAGGTCACTCTTGCAAATGAGACTCTATCCGGGTCTCTCGCGAGTTATCACCGAGGGTTTAAACACAAATATTAACTTACACGAAGAATCCATTTGGAACTCTCACGGAGTAGTGCAACCCTCGGTGTCAGAGGTTCTCTTGCGAGTGCCCCCTGGCGCTCGCAAGAGAGAGAGAGAGAGGGGGCAGCGCATCGCTACTTCTTGAGCAGAGTCGTGTCCCTTGGCATGGCAGTCACTCTGGCATGCGACTTTTAATTCCCAGAGCTGGAATGTCGCCAAATTAAGCGCAGAGCCAAGTGTAACGCGACGCTTTTGTTTGCGGTGTAGTCATTGGTGACCAGGCTGGAGACCACCAGCTCACTACTCCTGAGAACGCCCCCCACCCCTCCCCGAGTTAAACCACAAGCGGCTGGCTACCTGGGTTCGAACCCAAACCTTCGCAGCTTCGGCGCTCCGATCCTCTGAGCCACCCGGCCTCCTTCCGGCCACACAGCATCAGAACAAGTTTGAACATTTTCTGGCAATGAAGCGGGAGGCGTTAAGATGTTCAAACACCAAATAGATACATTTTGCAAGGCATCACGTCTGCATTAACCACGCACAGTGCTTGTGGCAAAACCATTGCGAACAACCGTGCTCCGATATTAATGTATCCACTGTGATTGGCCTCAGCTCCCATAGACACACAAGGCCAGTTGGGATGAAATGAGCCGAGCCTATTAAGTCAACCTGTCCAGGAATGATCGCCACAAATCAAACATCACGACGAGAGAGAGAGAGAGAGGGCGGTCGAACCAAGACTCGGAACTATCGGGAGTCGGTTTAAAGTGCAAACGGCGGCAATGGACAACGTCAATCGGCGTTCTCACTCCCCCAAAAGGTATCCCACTCTGATGAAATGACCCTAATCAGATTTGACCGTCGCTATATCATTGGCTTTGTTCAAACAAATCTCACTTTTCGCAATCATGAGCGTTAACACCAGTGAACTATTTAATAATGTGTAATGAAAAAAAACCTGGGAAAAAATGTAGCTTTACTCGCCATCGGCATGATTGTCACATTCTCATATATCGTAGATTTGTACGATAATCGGGAATTCAGCGGCTTATGAGCTTGCGCACTTAAACCGCTGGCCAAAATGAGAATAAGAAGGTTTATTATTTATGAACGTTGACGCAAAATTGATTCATATTCAACGTAAAATTGTTTCTCTCTCTCGCGAGCGCGCCGTGGCCTAATCTCCTTTTAATTATGTAAATTCCACAAGTGACCTTTTGTGACCTTATTTACGTGAACCCATTCCCTAATCACGCGCGAGCCGAGTCTCTGGATGACCCCAAGGGACCCCAATCTTGGCACTGCCGAGCTGTCTCCGGCGGGTTCCAGGTAGGGTAAAGGCGCAGCCCTGCAATTGCCCGTTCGTGTCACTGCCGGCAGAAAGGGGCCCGTGAAAGGGGTTTTATCCAGTTTCTTACCACGTGTGCAAAGAAAACACTCCTTAGCGTTTGAGGACATGAGCACAGCCAACACATTCGTCAATAACACTGTGGCCTTAAAGTAAAAAAAGTATTTACTATGTGACGTTTCTGGCAATGCACCTTCTTCATAGCT